CTCTCTATCTCATTCTCTCTCTCAGATAAATAAATAAAATCTTTAAAAAAATAAATAAATAAAATAAAATAAAATATCAAAACAGATTTTAAGTTCCAGTCAAAATGCCTACACATGCACTTAGGAATCCCTAAGTGACTCCTATCTCCCTGAACAAACACATCACACTCTGCAAATTCCTGACGATTCTTTGATTCTTGTAATTATTCAAACTCTATGTCGCATCCCCCTTTTGGCATTTTTTTTTTACGGCCATTTCTTCCCCAAGACTCTCACCCACTGTCCTATTCTCTCTCTTGCTCTCTCAATATACCTCTGAAGAGAGCTTTGAGTTCACTGAGCAAGATACACACCTTTTTCCTCATATTCATTTTTTATGAATGCTCATAAACACGGTGATACGATTAGAGACACTGACTGGGTGGGGGCAGGAAGGAGCCCACACAGTGAGTAATCATGGTGGCTACATGTAAAAATTCAACAAACTATAACCTCAAGGCGTGTGCCCTTTATTATATGTGTGTTATTCCTCAACAGGAAGGCTAAAACACATTTTTTTAATTTGAAAAAAATGCCATGAGGTCATCAGGGAAGTGTAAAATTTGCATTTTCTAGTTAAAGACACAGGGGACCAATTGCTTACTTCGTCTAAGGTCACAAAACAGAAGAGCCCTATTCCAAACCCTTCCCATTACGCACATGGCTGTTGACCACAGTCACCGCCCCCCTGCCCTTGCCTGGGGGCCCTGGTTAGGAGTTCTGCCCTCAAAGTCACAGTAAATCCAACCTCTTTACCAAGACTCCTTAAAATAAAAAAAAAGTAGCACATAGCTATCCCACTCTTTCCTAAACCTCCTCTCTCGTGTTACACATCCTCAATAGCTCCTCATGTTTCATTTATGGCCCCTTCAGTCTCCTGGTTTATATTCTCAGGAGTGAAAATACACAGCAGTGTCTCAGGCTCTAAATCAAACCATTGGCATCAAATCCTGGGTCAGCGTTGACTAGCTGTGTGACCCTGGGCAGGTTACTTAACCTCTCAGTGCCTCCTCTTTGCTCACGGATAAAAATGAGGATAATTGGTATCGACTGTACCAACCACAATGTGGTTGTGAGGATTGAACTGGCTATGAATACCAAGGTCACAAAATGGCACCCAGCACTTGGGAAGCACAACTGAGCGTTCGCGGTCATTGGAATTATTAGCATCGTGATCGTCATCACGGTCTTCATCCTTTTCTGGTAATTCTGTGTAAATGCAGGGAGAGGTCAAGGCTCAGTCATCAAGACACCAATCAAACAGAAACTCATGAGTCACGAGGGAGTCACCTGGGAACCAGAAATTAGTCTACACAGCCCTACACAGCTGGCCCAGTTAGCGTTCCGGCATTCAGTGACCAGGCCCCCATGCCATTCCATCACACCTCATCCGCAGGGACGCCGCCTTCCTCTGCAACCATCTTCCTCAGGGCTGCCACTGTGCTGAGGATCGGCACGGCCAGGCCCACCCGCAGGAACCGCTGGCTCTTAGAGGGGAAGACCAAGGTGACGCTCAAGAATCTGGAAAATAGGAAGGCGTCCACATCCTTAAAGGACGGACATGAACTGTCAACACCATTGACATTGGGTCAAGTCCAACACTTGGGCTCACATCTCTGCTTTCTGCTTGGGTCACTGTACTTTAGGTATACTGTCACCAGGTGGCAGCAGAGAGCCAAATCTCCAAAGGGTCTCAGCTCAAGTATAGTTTTCCATAGTGAAAAATTAAAGGTACTTGATTAAGAATCACAGTACAGACCTGTGATCTCAAGGTTCTGTTTGTCCAATAGATCACGGTAAGCCAAAACAAACTTGGAAATCTGAGATGGGAAAGGGTCAAGCTTCTTCTATCAGGGTTCAACACTATTGATGATGCCCTCCTTACTGAAACTGCCCTTAGTAATAGGGCACTTTCTCTTCTCCCCCTCCCCGCCCCCACACTCTCTGGAATCTCTCATTCTACTTCCTATTGTCCCCACCAGCACACTGGGGCTCCCTCCTCCAGCTTCTGCTTCTCCTGCCCCTTCCTGGAACACCTGTTGGATTCACGCAGCTCACTGCCACAGCTGGGACTGGAACCCCGGGCAGTCCAGCCCCAGAGTCAGTGGTCCCAACCCCTGTCCTCTGGCGCATGAGGCCAAGAATCTTAGCTCACATCCATCAGTAGGCATCCCCTGGTCGGGTCACCCAAGAAAGGACAAGCCAGTGTTACAGGGATAGCACGGATGATGAGCAGCACAGGAACTTGGAGCAGAAATGGGGATTACATTGCCAGGAAAGGCTTTATGAAGCTTTGGCTCTTCATCTGCATCCTAAAGATGGGGGACTGTCAGCAGGCGGAGGGCACGACAGATGGTATTTTCGGAGATGGAGAACACAAGGAAGAAATGCCACCGTCTCAAGACCAGTGGAGGACTCACCAAACTTCCATGACACTGACGTTGGCCAGATGCCTTAATGGCTTTAAGACCTAGGCTTCTGGAATGCCTGCCCTGTGTGCCTCTTACGCTTAAAAAGCCGAGCCCACCACACCTCTTACCCGACCCTACTACTCTCCTCTTTTCTGTTTTTCTCCTCTCCTTCAACACCCCCTCCCCTTTTTCCTTTGCTCCTTAGAGACACCGTTTCCCTGCACCTTCACAGTGAGCCAAAAGGACGTGGAAACAAAGCCGGGAAAAGCAGGTGGCGACAGGTTCCCCCCTCCCCCTCGGATTTGCCCCTGGTTCTGCTGAGAGGTCCAGACTGGCCACCGGCCCATGCCTGCTTCTGAGCGGGCCCAAGACTTCGGAAGCCCCGCTACAGCGTGACAGACGGAGGCACCGCGGATAATCCCTTCGTCAGCTAGAGAAGGGATGCGGCAACCTTTTACTTTGTCACATTCGGTCGCCAAACATCACCAGCCTTCTAAGGCTGGTTTCTACAGAAATGCTGGTTGAGACTCGCAAGAGACCGAGCCGCAGGTGCAAGGCCGTAAGGTACCCAGGGAGGACTAAGGACTGAGGGAGTCAAGTTCACGCTCACGTACCTCGTCTGGCGCAGGGGGATGGGGAGTGACACACACAGGAAGGGGTCGAAGGTATTGCTCTGTTTCAGGCAGTGGGGACAGGTCAAGGAAGATCTGTAAGGGAAAAAAATAAAGTTTCAAGCTGAATCGCACTCAGTTTGGCAGATCCTCAAAAAGTCAAATATAAAATTGCCATGTGATCCAGCCATTCCCTTCCCAGATACGTACCCAAAAGGAGTTGAAAACAGGGATTCCTACAAATACTTGTCCTCAAGTGTTCATAGGAGCGCTATTCACAAGAGTCAAAGGGCGGACACAACCCGAACGTCCATCAGTGGATAACTGGATAAATCCACAAGAGGTAAAGCCACAAAGATGGAAGGCGGATTGGTGGCTGCCAGGTGCAGGGGAGGGGTGGGGAGGGCTTAACGGGTATCGGGTTTTCTCTTGGGGTGATCAAAATGGTTAGGAACTAGACAGAGGTGCTAGATGCCCAACACTAACGTACGTGCCACGGAACTCTACGCTTTAAAATGGTTAACTTTACGTTACGTGATTTTACCTCAATTTTTAAAAAAGGTTTAGTCACACGTGGCAATGTGCTGAGTTTGGGAAGGGAAGCGAAAACCCCGCGAGACAGAAACAGCGGGCCGACTTGCAAGCTGGAAGGAATTTTAGGACCATGCCTTCCCCTAGTTCTTAGCTTCACTGTGCCCTAGAATGACAAAGGAAGCTTTTCTAAAAATGCAAATGTCTCAACCCTCCTCCCATAGAGTCTGTGGGGGGTGAGGTGGGGGGCCGGGAGAGGCTCAGGCATTGGTGTATCAACGGCTCCCCAAACACCAGGTTCAGCCAGGATGCAGAACCACCAAAGGAGTCCACCCTCTTCATTGTACCAGTGAAGCAACAAAGCTCAGAGAAAAGCAGCTAATAGTAAAAGAGCTAATATCGAAACAGCGTTTACTAAGAAGTGGGCATTGTTCTGACCACTGGGCTTGTATTAACCCACTTACTACCCATAACCACCAGGATCATCCCCGTTTTGCAGACAAGAAGACTGAAGCACAGAGACATTAAGCAACTTTCCCAAGGACCACACAGCTCAGGTTCCAGAGTCTGCGCTCATCACCATTCCTCCAGAGTCTTTAGTATAAGCCGATGAAGCACTGATTGTCAAGAGTAGATATACACACAGTTGACTTACATTCTTTAAACTTTCAAACTCAACACTCCCTTACTTAAGAGCATGTTGTCCCTGAAAGTAAAATGCAATTTTTATATTCCACATGGGGACTCCAGTTTAATTTCCTTAACCATATGACAGACCATATTCTTCCAAGACATAAGGGATTTCTGGATGCTATGTGTGCATCCTGAAATCTACACGGCCTTCTTCCTTGGGAAAATGGACTACCACCCAGCCGACAGTCATGCTCCTATATGATAGTCAGCAAGGAAAATGGGGCTGGTATCACACCCAGGTTTCAAGTCTCTGCGGGGAGTCCAGCTGCAGCGGTTTCCCCCTGAGCAGAGAGAATGGGAAAAACCAGGGACAAGCAAGAAACCCTGAGGTTTTCAGGGTGCTGGCCAAGGCGACCCTAAGCGAGCTGGCCAGAGCAGGTCAGCTCCCCGGGGGACAAGTTAACAGCACACCATCCATGACTTTAGGTAACAGACCTGAGTATTTAATGTCCAGTAACTTGCTGCTTCCGGTAATTTTCCCATTGGGAAAATGATGGTAATGTGTTGGTAAAATGGTGTATCAGACACCGAGCTCCAGGTGGTAGGGAGACCCGATGGTTGTGGGGTCCCCCCTGCCACCGTTTCTCCTGATCCTTCTCCTACCTTCACCCTTTGTGTACCTGAGAAAGCCTAACAGGGATTGCTGCCTGTCATGGGGACCAGACCAGACTTTCTGTGGATAAAAGCCACGAGTGACAAAGAAATGAAAACACGCACGCACGCACACACATACACCCTCCCATAGCCCAAACTCCAACGCAGCACTAATCCTTGGTTATTAAACTCACCGATGTTTTTAGGTTGTGGTGATAACCATATGGAACAACCAATTATTTCTCCTCTAGTCCATAACCTAGTCCAGCACCCTGACCCCATTCCTCCTCCTCTCCTCCGGCCAAGGTGAAAAACCTGACACCCTAAAAAGGAGGGGAGGGATAACCTCAGTGAACAGGGGTCTCTGAATTAACCCACAATAAATCCCCCAGCTTCCAATTTCATACAGAAGGGCTGACATCACAGCGACTTTCCATCTCTGGGCCCACCGGCCACCCCAGAAAATCACTTCCCACAGCTCAGAAGCCCTCACCTAGACAGACATTTTTTTTTTTCCTCAATTTTTTCTTTACTCCAGACGATCCGGCACAAAGCGGGTATTTTTAGCTGTCACTGGTTCCTTTTTGGAAGCTTGAACACCTTGCTTCTTACTCATCATCCTACAGGAACCTACCCAAAGGGCGCTTGCAATCCTTAATATCGGATCGGCTTAAACGTCCCTTCCTCAGGAATCCTCCCCTGACTCACCCCACACCAGTCAGAGACCGTGTGATATTTTGACTTATAATGAGAAATATATATTTGGTCTTTGTCCCAGTTCCTGGCTCGGAGCTCCTAAAACCCTTGGAATTACCTAAGGGATGAGCCCCGAGGCAAAAAGGTCCATCTTTCTAATAAGCCCCAGACAACCATATGCAGGAGTTCTGTTAATGAGGTGGTTCTGGGATGGCCCCTGGATCACCGAGGATGGGGGCTGGTTGCCAGGGGAACCGACCCAGGATTAGAGGGTTGGCACTTGCAGGGGAGGAAAGGGGCACCAGAGGTTGAGTTCATCACTAAGGGTCAATGATTCAATCAATCACAGGTAGGTAATGAGACCTACACAAAAACCCTAGCAGGAGGGGTTTGGAGAGCTTTGAACCCCTGGAGGGGCTGGAGGGCGGGGCCCCCCCGAGAGGGCACAGCAGCCCTGCACCCCGTCCCACACACCTGGCCCAGCGCAGCCCATCCCCGCTGTTCCTGAGTCGTATCCTTTTATAACAAATTGCTCATCCAGTGAGTAAATGGTTTTCCCAAGTTCCGTGAGCAGCTCTAGCAAACTACGGAAACTGCGGGGGGGTCGGGGGAACCTCCGGTCTGTAGCCGGCCAGTCAGAAGCACGGGAGACAATCTGGGACCTGGGGGTCGGGGGTGTGGGGGGGGAGCAGTCTTGTGGGACTGAGCGCTTCAGTGTCGGGTGGGAGTTACACTGTAGGACACCCCGTCCCTGTGTGCGCAGAGCAGAACAGCCTGGTGTGGGGAAAGCACCCTGCGCCCACCCATCTGGTGCCGGCAGGTTTGTAAGCACGGTAGGAGGAGAGAGTGTAAAAGAAAACAGTTTTTTTTCCCTTCCCACCAGGAACACGCACCTCAAAGCACCTGCCAGCTATAAAAACCCAGGAGTCACCCTAGCTTCTCCCCTTTCCCTCAGTGCCTCCCCCTTGCACCTTTAAATTCATGAGCAATGCATCTGGCCACCCCTGGATCCCAGGCACCCTCCCTCTCCCAGGGTCCCTCAGCTGCTCCAGCCTCCCTCCAGCCCCCAAAAAACCACCAGCGTAATCTCTGAAATTGAAAAGGATAGCACACCCAGCTTCAAATTCTGCAGCAGCTTCCTGGGCCCTTCAGACGAAAACCCACACCTGGCCAGGACACCTGCCCCGTCCACCGCTCCAGCCATAACTCCCGCCCCTCCCTCCCTGGCAGCTACCTTGCCCTTTCTGTCCCTTGCGGTGCCAACCTCATTCCAACCCCAGGCCCTTTGCCTCGGCCGTTCTCTCTGCCTGGATGACCCTGTCCCCAGATACGTGAATAGCTGACTCCTTGTCACTCGGTTCGCGGCTCAAATGTCCCCCCCACCAAAAAAAGAAGCCTTCCCAGACCACCTTATCTAAGGCTGGCTGCCTCCCCCACACCCCGAGCTGTGTCTTATCACCATCACGAGCCGCTGTGACGTGTGTGGTGTGTTACTGAACACCTGCCCCAGCAGAACGTGAGCTCCATGAGAACGGGGGCCGGGCCTTGTTCACAGCTCCCTTCCAGTGCCGAGAAGGGCAGTGGCCCGTAGTAGGTGAAATAGTAAATATCGAGGGCATATCTATCTGGAATTAAATATCCAGAGAGCACGCGGGGGTATTTGGTTGGTATTTCTCGCTCATGGGCAAGGAGTGATGCTCCTCGCTGTAACCGGTGGACCAAGCACAAGCACAGATGCTCAAATGTTGGGAAGAAGGGAAGAAAGTGAGCATGTGTGCCCAGGATGGGGAGTGGGCAGAGAGAACGGAATGAGCCGAGAAATAAGCAAATTGATTGTACTAAGACACCAAGAGCGGTACCTGGTGGCAATTCTTGGTGTCCCTGCCCCACTGTCTAACCTACCCTGACCTTAAACTCCCCTTATGTTCTTTCTCCTCCTCTCTTCGTCTCCTGTCTCATTTTCGTTTCAAGCAGCCTCCGCTCCGGGCAGGTAAGTAAGGCCGATGCCCTGGGCGTAGCTTCCACGGCTAGAAAAGGTCGGCAGCTGTGAAACTGAGGTTGGCTCTGTGCATGCCACCGCAGGAAAGAAATGGGCCTTACTTCGTGTACAACAGTAACACTTAGGCTCATTTCGAAGAGTTTTTTTTAATTCCCCAGTATGCTAAGCTACCAAGGGTAGCGTGTCACCAAGAGGAGGTTCTCTGTAACCGATGGCTTCCCCGAAATTCTATCACGCTCATTCCCACGTGTGAGCAGGTTCCGTGGTGGCTGAAGACGCTCTCACCCGTTCAATCCTAGTCATCCTTCAGAGCCCATCAAAAGGCACGCCTCCTCCGAGAAGCCCAGGGGGGTTTCTCCCCGTGTTGCCCTCTCACTGCAATCACTACCTTCACTAAATCATCATAGTACTGGGAAATATGCTGCCTTATCCGAATCTCTGAACTGTCACATATATAAAAAGCCCAAAGAGAACGCTTCTGAAGTCAAAGGCAGTGTAATTATTTTCTACGTCGTCCATGCTGCTGGGAAATCTTGAACTTGAAAGAACTTGGTAATCTGGGCTCTCTGGCTGCAGGAACGAACAAGAATGATTGCCTTGCCTGCTGGGGAAGCCCTGACCTCCACAGTCACGCTCTAGAACCCCCTGGGGTTGGGATGGGAGGCCCAGGAGCCAGCAAGAAGGGAAAGAAGAAACACTAACCGCCAGACCCGACAGGAGTGAGTGGTTAACTGGGATCTATAATGGGAGAGAGAAGGGCACTGGTGTTTCTGTTGTCTTGTCATCAATAGGAGACCAGTTATCGGCATACGAGTTTGGGCGACCCATTCCAAGCCCATCCATCCCACTCTTACCCAGATTCTTACCTATACTGAGCTTGAAAGTGGCTCTGCACAAAGCTTGGGCCTAGAGAAAGCTGAGCCAATGGTGACGGGAGGTTCTCGGGGGTTCTGCTGGCTTCAGGCTGAGGCTGCAAAGAAATGAGGGAAGGAAGCAAGGTCAGGCCCGGCTCCCAGGGCTCCGGCACCTCCGGACCACTGAGCCCCGGCCCTTCTGTTGACTTTCCACAATTCACAGCTCCTTCGGCCTCCAGACCTCCCAAACTCCCCCCGACAGAGAAGGTGCTGAGGGAGCAGAGCTGAAGCAGGAAGCCTGGGAACACTCCCACATCCTCGGCCACCTCTGCTGTGACCTCTGTCTCGACTGTCCTGTTCGCATCTCCATCCTGCTGGGCCCCGCGTGTCGACAGCAGGCAGGCTGCTAGGCTCTGAACACCTCCGCACCACACCTCCCTGCTTCCACCACCCTGCCCCATCTGCATCTCCTCGGGAGCCCTCTGCACGCGAGCACCAGGCACACGAGGCTTCGCTCCTTCAACCCACATCAGTCCTACTGTGCCCCTCTTTGCATCCTCTTCTGTACCCGCTTTCTGGTGCTCCTGCAGCAAATTCGCACACACTGGCGGCTTAAAACAAGCAGAAATGTATTCTCTCATAGTTCTGGGGACCAGACATCCAAAATCAGCATCCCCAGGGCACAAACAGGGATGCGGGAGCTCTGGGGAATGCGCCCCCTGCCTCTCCCGGCCTCTGGTGGCCGTGAGAATCCCAAGGCTGGTGGCCCCGTCACCCCGGACTTTATGGCCAGCATATTCGAAAAGCCAGGAGAAAGGGACGCACGTGAAGTGTGTGGGTGAAGCATGCCAACATCTGAAATGTGGATTTAAAACGCATCGCGAAGCAGTAAGGGGAGGAAAACCATAGACTGAGGAATATATAGATGGACAAATACAGGATAATGCAATTTTAGTAAAATGTAAACTAGAGTAGAGTTTAGGCGGTGGGCAGGAGGTATTCACTGTATCATTCATTCAAGGTTTCCATCTGTATAGAATTTTCTGTAATAAAAGATTGGGGCAAATAGGACGGAACATTCTCATTGGCCCCGTGGTTTTGTTTTTGTTTTTGTTTTAAAGATTTTATTTATTTATTTATTTGACAGAGAGAGACACAGCGAGAGAGGGAACACAAGCAGGGGGAGTGGGAGAGGGAGAAGCAGGCTCCCCGCAGAGCAGGGAGCCCGATGCAGGACTCGATCCCAGGACCCTGGGATCATGACCTGAGCTGAAGGCAGTCGCTTAACCAACTGAGCCACCCAGGCGCCCGGCTCCGTGGTTTTGTGAAGCTCAAGTCGACCAGCACATAGATGAGTGAAGGGAGGTGGAAAACGGGGCCACACTGGGGGGGTGGGGGTGGGGGTCCCCTTCCATGTCCTAAAGATGACCACCCAGTTCAGTAAACAGCACAAAAGCAGGATTGAGAATCTGCCTCCGGACTCCAGCGGCCAGGGTCCCAATCCCTCTGAAATGGCACTCCTCTGGGAGCGCTGCCCAACCTCTGAGCCAGCCAAGTATGTTACTTAACCCCTTGGCCCCCCAATTTCCCGGCTTCTAGAAAGGGATGCTGAATGACAGTGCCTACCTCAGGGGGATGTCCTGAGATTCAAAGAGTTGACATACATGTAACACTCAGAACAGGGAGCATGGTCTGTGGTCGCCAAGACACTGAGGGGAGTATCCGATGGGTTTCGAACCCACGTGGTGGCGCCATGCGTGGAGAGATGCTTTAACTGACCGCCGTGCACAGGATGCAGGAGGGCGAGTCCGGGGGAAGGACACAGATCAGGAGGCTCAAGGGCCCGGGGCATAATGGGAAGAGGTGGAGAATGAGCCATGAGCATGGGAAGGGGGGATGGACTCAAGACGCCCTGTGTCCGCGGCGCACAGGGGAACACTCAGTGGGGCAGCAAAGGAAGGGGGAGGGGACAAGCAGGAACAGCTCCAAGCTCCCATCTGGTGCCCGGAGAATGCATGTCTTCCATTAGCATAGGAGGGGAAATCGAAGGCAGAAGTGGGTCCGGGAAGGGCACGCCAGAGTTTGAGGTAATGGGGGGCTGGAAGGGGTGGACCCTGGATGCAGAGCAGACGCTGGCATTTGTGGCTGCTCAGGGCTGAGGCCCCTTCCTTGGTCACGGCGCCCCTTCTGGAATACTGAGCCCAGTCCATGGGGAGGTGGGGAAGCTCTTTAATCGGGGGTCCCGCCCTCCCTTCGCAAGGGACAGGAACGTGACCCAAGTGAGACTGATGGGGTGGTCCTGCCCCATGAATCACTAGCAGAGTGAGCGAAAGCCTGAAAACACGGATTCCAGCAGCAGTGTCTGGGCCAGAGTCCAGCAGTTTCTGCCACTGTGAACCACCCCCCAGCCCTCACCCCCCTCCAAGGGCTGTCTGATTCTCACCGGGTCCAAGCCTGGTTCTCATCTCCCCTCTGATCCTGCCTGCTACACCTCCATCCTCTCTCCAGTCATCTGAAGTTGGTTACCGTTACTTGCAGCCAAAGACCTCACAATGATACAGGTGCTTCTGCATCCGGGTGATAACGTGGGGGGTCAGGCGTGGCGGTGGGCAGGATCGCCCAGGAGCGGGTGCGGAAGGAGGAAATCCCCAGAGGCAGCGGGGTCATTCGAGAAACGTGGACCAGGAGGTCCGGCCAGACTGGCTCCACTCTGCTGGCCAAGCTACCCTGGGCATCTCTCTGAGCCTCATTCCACGTCTAAAAGGGACAGGAGTGGGGCACCTGGGTGGCTCAGTCGGTTAAGCGTCTGCCTTCGGCTCAGGTCATGATCCCAGGGTCCTGGGATTGAGCCCCGCGTTGGGTCTGCTTTTCCCTCCCCCTCTGCCGCTCCCCCTGCTTGTGCTCTCTCCCTCTCTTGCTCGGTTAAATGAATAAATAAAACCTTAAAAAAACAATAGATAAAAGGAACAGGAATGTCACATCCATCTCACGAAGGCACCATTAAAATTTTAAAAAATTATGTGTGTGTCCTGCAAGGCCCACAGTAGGTGCTTTATGAATGGTAGCTTCCTGGTCCTCTCCCCCACCCCCTCCCATTCTTGATTCTACAAGAGTGGCAATTTCTGGAAAATTAACTGCCCAAAAGACTGCCTACGTGAGGCTGTCTATAGGATGGTAAAAATATGCCCTTTTCACCGGATGAAATCATTTGAGAACCCATCCGGATGACAGAGAAGAAAGTGATCCTTATGTTTTCTCTTCCAGTTTCACATACATCTAGCTGTATGGCCTTCACATGTTTTGAAACAGAAATAACCTCAAAAAGAAAAAAAAAAAAAAGAAAAAAAACGCTCAGTTACAGAGGACAGTGCCTTTCCTCCTGGAAAGGGAAAATGAAGTTTCGTGCCGGGTCTGGCTTTACCTTCAAGTGTCCCCAGCCAGGCCTCCGCAGGTGGCCCAATTTTCTGAGAGCAAATTTCAGGAGACGCTTCCACCCCAGGTGGAGAAAAAAGATCTTCTCTGGTCTCAATCAGGTCAAGCGAAGAGCCGGGCAAGCTCCTCTCTGTGGCCAACAGCCACCCCACCCCCCGTTCTTGCCTGGGTCCTCAAGGCTTGGCCCAGGAAATTGAAAGCAGCCAGCATGGCCCAGAACAATCAATGAGCAAGGGGCAGAGGGGCCTGAAGGCAGGCCAAGCGGTTGGCAGGCCCGGCCAGAAGTCTGGATTTTGTGCGAGGTACAACAGGAAGCCGCCGGAGAAATTTAAGAAGGAGAGCGACATGATCTTTTTGTCCTTTCTCAAAAGGCATCTCCGACTTCAGTGTGGAGAACATCTAGCAGAAGGACGCCTTGGAGACTGGAAGGCCAACTGTGGCT